GGACACGCCCGGGCCAGGCTCTCTGACTACACCTGGGGCTTCCCCTTGGCGGGCCCAGAGACTGCCAGGCAGCTGAGAATGCCTGGGCTCACCTGGGCGCTGCCCAGCTCCCTGCAGTGTCCGTTGGTGCAGCAGAGAACAGGGACAGGAGCAGCAAGGCCGCAGGGTGGGCTGCAGCTGCGGTTGCGGCTGTGGCTACAGCTGGCGGGTAGAGCGTGTTGCCCAGAGGTTTCCTCCCGGTGGCTGCAGAGTTCTGGGACCTCGCCTCACCCGCTGTCCAGCTCAGGGCCCATCCTACACGACAGCAGGACCAGCTCGTGTTCTGACATTTCATGGCGTAAGGAAGCCCCCTGGCCTTTTGTCTCCCTCCTCCTGCCCTAACTCTCCCCTACTCAACTCCTGTAATTTCATTGTATTTCTTTTTCTACGTCAAGAAACCCCAGCTCTAGAGAGAACTCAGCCTCTTTTTTTATTGGTTGACAACTCAGGGAGAGCATGTTGAATTTGACCTCTGGTTCCCAACTTGGGGTTTTCTAAACCCTGGCTAGGGATCCATGAGCCACTGAGGAAACTGTTCCTGACCTCTTCAAGGAGTGTCCAGGCTGATGGGGACACTAACCTCCATGGCCATGGCCGGCCTGGCTCTGGCCTCAGAGCAGAGCCATAATTTGCATCTGGCTGAGGGCAAGGGCTGGATTCCAGTCTTACTCATGCCCTCTTCAGCCTGGCCTGAGCCCCAGGCTCCCCCTGGGTCCCCCTGCGGCGCCCTCTCCTCCCTGCTCAGTCATTGCCTGACTGGGTTTCAGCCAGTGACTCAAGCAGCAGGAGAAGGGAAGTAGGGGTTTCTCATGGGTTTGCTTTTAGAAGTGAATAATAACAAGAAAGTGTTATTTTATGATCTTTTCATGAAAAGCTTGGTTGAAAACTAAAAAAAGAGAAGAGGAGGAGGAGGGGGAAGAGGAAGTGGACAGATCTCTGTTTTGTCCCCTATTGTCCCCTGCTCTACTGGCAGCCTCTGTTCTCAGCTGGGGACAGGAGGTGGGAACCAGAGTCCCACCCAGCATGAAGTGGCAGCTGACAGGCTAGTGGCAGCCACCATGGGTGACAGCTTCAGCAAAGGCTTTCAGACCCCCACAGGCAGCCAGGGCCGTTCAGACGGCCTGGGCAGCCTCCCACAGGGCTGTGTGCCCTGGGGGTGGTGGGCGGGGGGGGGCTGCAGGGGCGCTCCTCCCTCTTTGGGCACGCTTGGGACTTGTGCGTACACGTGCACACTCACACTCACGGTGGAGGTGGAGCGCAGACACTGGGTCTGAGGAGAGAGGCGACCCATGGACTTGCCCCAGACTGGGTCTGTTCTCCTGCCCAGTATGACAGCCATCAGAGGGCCACCACTGGGACTGTTCAGTGGACAGGCTTGAGCAAAGTGGCCGGGGGCACTGGAGAAGGGCTGGGAGATGGCAACCACCACAGGGTGGGTCCCATCTAAGTGGGTCGGTCTGTCTACACAGCCAGCAAGCCAGGCAGCCCCTCTTCAGGTTCACGCCAGGCAGATGGCTCGCCCCCAGCCTGCTGTCCCCACCCCACCTTACTCTGAGTTCCTCCGCCTGGGGATCCCCAGTATCAAGCTTACCCAGGTACTCTCAGCCTCCCTCACTGAGCCCACCCCATCTCAAGCAAGTCGTTTAGACAGGATAGTGAATGAAATAGAACGAGGGTTTTGTCAAAGCACTTGCTTCCTTTTAGCTCCTCACGGGGCAACCTGGTGTGCTCAGCTCTTCTGAATTGTTAGATTGAAGTCTTCCTGCATCGGGATGAAGAATGCCTCCCTCTCGTTTGGGGGTGAGGGCAAATTAGTGTCCAGGTAGGGAGACACTAGCACTCTGGGGTGAGATGGTCTGGGGGTCCAAGGGGCAATAGAAGGTGTGTCTCAGCTGGAAATGCTTGGCTGGGAGCACGATGGCCAGCCAGCGGGCCCCCCACTCCTGACCTCTCCCCACAGCCCTGCATTGGCTGTAGCCAGCAGGGTGTTGCAGGAGGAGCAGACTGCAGACTCACTGACAGAGGCTGGCTGGGCATCCTGGCCGGCTGGCGGTGTGGGAATACCGGCGGAGCGATGGCAGAGAGCTTTGAGAGGAACACAACTCTGACACACGTGTTTGAGCCTGGCTCTCACTTGCTGCCAGGAGCTATGGCACTCATGGAAAGGCGAGGTCAGTGCAAACAGTAAGCCTGGGAGCTGACAGAAGGGCAAGCAGGATGCTAATCAGCGTGGTCAGTGGGCACAGCTCCCTCCTCCTTTTTCTCCCTCTCCCCATGACTGGCCTCTGCTTCAGCATGTAGCTGATGGCCTGGGATTTCCCTGCAGAGGAGAAAAAACAGCAACAGAAGGTCATCCTGGGTACAAGTCCTTTATTTCATGCCCCCTAGCATATGAGGCTGGGCTTACTCCAAGGCCAGTTATGGAGGAGGCGTGTTCACAACTAGAGCAATTTCTCTCTATGTGATAGGTTAAGGCAACTTTTCTGTTTGCAGAATATTGTGACAATCACATCCAGGGCAGCTGGTTCCAGGAGCCCATCTGGCTGCAGCAATATTGGGCCACCTAGAAGTAGGTGTGGCACCAGCACTGGGTGTCTGCAGTGCCTCAGCAGGAGGGAAGAGGGCCCACGGGAGGCTGAGGGATGGAGCCCAGTGCTGGGCATTGCGCTGAAGAAGACAGAGGTGGTGAGAATGGAGTGGGGCAGCAGGTGGTAGGAAAGTGAGGCTGGACTGTAAACCTGTTCCCTCTGGGCAGAGGATCTGGCACCTCTCTCCCAGCCAGGGCCACAGACCTGCTCAGAGTCTCACTTGAATCCCAGATAGAGGACAGGGCAGGTGCTGCAGGACACACAGAGGAGAGGCGCTGTCCTGGCTGGCGGCAAGCTGCCCACAGGGGCGCTGTTTCATCCCGCCCTCTCACAGAGCGGGACCCAGGCTGGATGGCCTGAGTGATTTTTGAACCCAGGGGGCTGTGACATACAAAGGTGGCCAGGTGTCCTCAGTAGTGCTGTGGTCTAAAGCCGTGGTTCTCCAAGTGTGCTCACAGGGCCAGCAGCGACATCGCCTGGGAACTTGCTAGAAACACAAATCTACGGCCCTGCTCCTCTGGTGGGGAAGGAGAGGGGCAGCGTGCTGTGCTAAAAAGTCCTCAAGGTGATTCTCATGCAGGCTCACATTTGAGAATTTGCAGGTGTAGACACTTCATTAATAGCATCCTTGGTGGGTGTGAGCACCACCCAGAGGTGACACAAAATATGGGGTTTCTCCTTAGCCAGTCAGGCCATCTCCCCTTCTCCACTTCTGTCCCCAGGCCCAAAGTGGCCAGTAAGTGGAGAATGTTTTCAAGGCTGAGAGTAGGGTGAGGGTGGTGGTGAAAGTAACTGTTTTAAGTCCCATCCTTTACCTTGAGACCCTGAAGAAGGACCTGGAGCAGCAGATTCCAAGACCAAAACTGTCCATGGGGCGTGAGGGCTCTGGGGACACATCACCCTGTTGTATCACCACCACCCCTCCTCAGGGCCAGGCCCATGGCCATGCACAGGGTGGGCAGCCTGATGAGCGCCTCAGCCAGAGACAGCTCGCCCTGAGCCCACCCAGTGGCCCAGCGGCCCAGCGGCCCAGCATTGGCAACAAAGGGGAGGGGAGGAGGCAGGTGCCCCTGGCTGCCCAGGGTGGCTCTGTGAGGCAGGAGACTGCATGGGGCTGGGAGAGGCATGCGCTGCTCCCTTGCCCCTAGATTATGGTCTCCACGCAGACATGAGATTTCACATCCTGTTGAGGATTCCTATTGCTGAGGGAGGTCTGCCCTCACTTGGGTGTCAGCACCAGCAGGCCAGCTGCTCCCCTGAGCAATGGCCCTAGGTGCCTGCTTGTTGTCTGAGTCACTTCACCAGGAGGGCCCTGCTGCCAGCCTGAAGGAGCCAGACTTCTCTTCCAGCTGCAAATGTGCAGGGCCCCAGTGCAGCAGTGGTGCAGGTAGATGGAGGGTTCCTTCCCACCAGGGGCTATGAGGCTGCTGCTCCTCCACAGCGCCCCCTAAGGGACACATGGCTCCTGAACATCAGCCTCTTTTTTGTTTCCCTCTATCTTTTGTTGTTGTTGTTGTTCAAGTACAGTTGTCTCCATTTTCCTATCGCTCCCTCTGACCCCAGCCACCCCCACCTCCCACCCCTTTGGCTTTGTCCATGTGTCCTTTATACATGTTCCTTGATGACCCTTTCCCCCTTTCCTCCCATTATCCCCTCCCCTCTGGTCACTGTCAGTTTGTTCTTTATTTCAATGTTTCTGTCTATGTTTTGCTTGTTTGTTTGTTTTATTGATTAGGTTCCATTTATAGGTGAGATCATATGGTATTTGTCTTTCACTGCCTGGCTTATTTCACTTAGCATAATGCTCTCCTGTTCCATCCATGTTATCACGAAGGGTAGGAGCTCCTTCTTTCTTTCTGTTGTGTAGTATTCCATTGTGTAAATGTACCACAGTTTATTGATCCATTCATTTACTGATGGGCACCTAGGTTGCTTCCAGCACTTGGCTATTGTAAATTGTGCTGATATGAACACTGGGGTGTACAAGTTCTTTTGAATTGGTGTTCCAGGGTTCTTAGGGTATAATCCCAGTAGTGAAATTGCCAGGTCAAAAGGCAGTTCCATTTTTAGTTTTCTGAGGAGATTTCATACTGTTTTCCACGGTGGCTGCACCAGTTTGCAATCCCACCAACAGTGCACTAGGGTTCCCTTTTCTCCACAACCTCAACAGCACTTGTTGTTTGTTGGTTTGTTTATGATGGGCGTTCTGAGTGGTGTGAAGTGGTGTCTCATTGTGGCTTTGATTTGCATCTCTCTGATGGCTAGTGATGCTGAGCATCTTTTCATATGTCTCTGGATTCTCTGTATGTCCTCCTTTGAGAAGTGTCTGTTCAGGTCCTTTGCCCATTTTTTAATTGGGTTGTTTTTCTTCCTGGAGAGGAGTCCTGTGAGTTCTTTACCTATTTTGGAGATCAAACCCTTGTCCAAGGTATAATTGGCAAATATATTTTCTCTTACGGTTGGTTCCCTTTTCATTTGTCTAATGAAACACTGAGGGGCACTGAGGGGAGGGGCGGCATGACAACAGTCACCACACTGACTGGCAAGCAAGTCTCTCAACTTCTGCGAGCCATAATTTTCTCATTGGTAGAATGGGGAACATATTCCATTATCCCAATCACTACGGGATGATGTATGTCTGTGATGGACATATTCTAAGCTCACAGTAAGCCTTCAGTAAACACAGGGTCCTGGGCACTGCCCCCATATGGCTGTGCCTCTCAGGAGCTCCTGGAGCTGGGGAGGGGGAAGGGAGAAAGAGAAGGGTGGTCCCCTCACCAAAGGCCAAGTTACACTCCTGTGTCCCCAGACATATGTCATCCAGGGAGTCGGGGGATGCACCACCCCCTCTCCCTCTCAGGGTGGCTGCCCTGTGAGTGGAGGGAGGGAAGGGCAGCTTGGTGAGTTCAGGGAGAACATGTGGTGACCTCAGCTGGTTGATATGCCAGCACCTGCTGTGGCCGGATCTCTCTCTCTGCAAAATTCTGGCTTCCTTTCTGGGCCCTGGTGTGCTGGGGCCTTGGGCCCACACGGGAGTGTGTTAGCTTTCAGCGAGCTTGCCCTTCTCTCTCACCAAGGAGCTCAGGGCTGTGACAGCCTACAAGCAGGAAGGAACCTGGGAGGAGCCATCCTGGGCCCAGATCTGTGTGCTCACAGGCAGGACCAGCGCCCCCTGCAGGGGACAGCACCCCAGCTCTGGACGTGAGCCTTTGGCATGCCCCTCAGGAACTCGCCCTATCCCAAGCTTCTATTTCCTTTAACCTTGCTTCATTTCCCAGGCTGTCGGCATGAACAAGGAGGACAGAGTTCCAAAAAGTTCTGGGCTGTTCTCTCCCTCTCTCTGCTTGGACCAGCCCTCCATCCTCCAGTAGCACTCTGGACAAGATGCTGCCCAGGAACCACAGCTCAGCCTGCCCCCTGCCAGGCCGGCCCTGCAGTGCAGGAGGTTGGGGCAGAAAACTGGACTCTCCTGGTCTCCCTGGTGACAAAGCTGTGCAACTAACACCCACCCATCGCCCCCATCCCCATCTCCACAGGCCTGGGTGACCTCAGTAAAGAAGGAAGGGACCCAGTCAGGGGCAGACATGTGATAGGGCCACAGCCCCTGCCTCTCATTGTTGCCTCCCTGGGGCCCCTTGGCAGGGCGAGCACGGCTCTCTTTCTCAGCCGGCACTCACTGAGACTCGTCGTCGATCTGATGTCTGGCCCTGCAAAGAGCTTGGGGGTCGTTGTCATTTTTATTTATCTGCGTGAATCCCAGGAGGGCAGGAAAGATGATTGCACCACCGTTTCTTTTGTCCTGCTGGGACAAAAGTCTGGGATTGCTGGGACCACTGATCTCCCTTCTAACGGATTTGTGTTAGCCTGCCCAAGGCCCTCCAGGTGGAGAATCTAAGCCGGCCAGGGTCCCCACAGCCCCTGGAGGGTCCTCAAGGCAGGGAAGCAATCTGCCCTGGGAAGCTGCCCTCCGTGCACAGGGCCATCCCTGGTCAGAGGGTGTGCAGTTTCTGCAAAATTGAGGGCTGTACTGGGGACAGCAGCGACCTGTGCATGGGAGACAGAACATCCTTCACCTAGGACTGACCCAGCCCAGCAGAGTTGAGCTCATCAGACCTAGGCCTGGAATGAGTGGGGGCAAGGGGTGACCTTTCTCAGCCTTGGTTTCAGCATAACAAGGGACCACCCCTCATGGGTGGGATGTGAGAGGGTCTCCAGGAGGGAAGCGCAGGACCTGGGAGGTGTGGAAGCCAGTGTGGATTTTCCTCAGAGTTGCCCACTTGTCACAGCCATCTGAGAGGGTCCCTAGGGCTGTCTTAGGAGTTGACACCTTTCTTTGGAAAACTGCCAGCACCTACACTCTGCATTTTCTAGGACTTGCTTTCCGTCCTCCCTTAATATCCAGGAAAGTTTTTCCTGAAGATTCGCTGCCTCATTCAGAGATTCGAGACAGAACCGAAGGGAGGGACTGTGTTCACTCTGGGGAGCAGAGCAAGGCCCCTGGAGACTGCATGCTGGTGGCCTCATGGTTAGGAGCACGGGCCCAGGACAAGTGAGGTGCAGGGCAGGGCACCCCTCTACGTGAAACTTCACTTTGTCAGTGGCTCTGACTTCGCAGGGTCTGTGATTTGGCCCAATCAGGAGAGAATTTCACACCCGCCCACAGTAAGTGCTGAAGTTCTAAAGTCCTGGCATTCTTGGGAACCAGACCACAGACAGGAAATTCTGGAGGAGGTGCAGATTACTGGTGGCTGAGGCCTGGGGCCTCGTCTCCCAGGGCATCCCCCCTCTACTGGGGAAGGCCTTGGGTGGCGGCGCAGGTGCCTGGTGCAGCATGTGCTGGTGGCGCTGGCTCCCTCGACTTGCTCCCTGCCCCGCAGCCCCATCAGGCCTGCCACTGCTCGAACCCAGCCCCCAGCTGCCGCACCTCGCACCTTGTCCTCTCTGCTCCCAGGCCCTGCAGGAAAGAACTTGGCCATCAGGAAAGTCCTTTGCCTCAAGAAGACTTGGGGGTGGGCAGATCAAAGACCTGGGTCTTCTGGGGACAGAGATAACCCTAACTGCCCTACCCTGGTGCATTTCTGGGAGGCAAGAGAAACACACACAAAGCCTGGGCCTAGGTGAGAGGAGGGCTGCAGCACTGGTGGGGGGCATGCTGAATGCTGGGTCCAGAGGGGTCAAGGTTATAGCCCTTGGATGTAGGTTCAGGAGCTGGGAGGGAGCAGAGAGTCCAATTCTCACCTTCCTGTGGTTCATGGGAGCTTCATGCCTGGTGAGGGGCTCTGGCTGCTGTCCCTGGAAGAGACAGTGTCCTGCTCTGGGGACTCTGGTGCTGAGTGCTCAGGAGTGGAGGGTGGGGCCAAGGGTCCCTGTTGGGTGGGAACCACAGGAGACATGGTCTTGGACATTTAGTAGGTCCAAAGGCAGTAGGCACTGGGGGAGTTTGTAGGTGAGCTGATGCTGACTTCACAGGTCTGGCAGATGGGACTTGAGCTCTTGTCCTTGCGAGAGGCAGCTGGGGGGGGGGCATGGCTGGCCATCAGTGAAAATGCAGCTGGAGCCTCCGGTGCAGGCAGCAGGTGAGCGCCATCCCGCAGGTCTGCCGTGAGGAGAGAATAGAGGGGCAGAGATGAGGACCGACTGCCCAGGCAGTGCCCCGGAGCACAGCTTCTCGCAGGGGGTGCGCACCTGGGGACCTCGGTGAAGGGTGGGTTCCCGCTCAGGGGGTGGGGGGTGCTGGGATCCTGCAATTCTGACAAGCTCCTGGTGACGCTGAGCCGCCTGCGAGGGGAACACGCTCTGGGAGCTGCGATCCAAGAGCAGCATTTCTCACACTTTAATGGGAACGAGCTGCTCAGGGACCTCGTTTTGGGTGAGGGCCAAGGTTCTGCATGGCTGACGGACAGATGAGCTCTCAGTCCCCTTGCTGCTGGTCTGCGGTCCAGAGCTTCTGCAGAGACAGCCTGCTTGCCGCCTGGGCAGCCTTCTCTAGGGGCCTGTCTGTGTCCTGCTGCTCTGACACCAGAGCAGAACCCACGGCCATCGTTGACTTTGGCTGATGTTCAGCAGCACTGGGGAAACCGAGGCTCTGGGAGGAGCACCCAGAGCTGTCACCAGCTTATCCTGCAAATCAGCTTGGAATGCAGCACCAAACCAGGCCCTTGGAGCCTGCCTGACAGCCCCTCTGTCACACCCACTCGCTGAACAAGAAGGGGCCGGAGCATCCTGTCCAGAGCATGGCCATGCTGGGCGGTCACTTCCTCCTGGTCTCACTTTCCTGTGTCTGCACCACAGAGGACCTTTGTTCCCCCACCTCATTTGCCTCCTTCTTCCTTCCTCCTCTTCCTCTCCTTCCTTCCACCCAAGGGTGCAGCGAGGACAAGATGAAGATGTGTTAGACCGAGGAGGCCCAGGACTGCGATCGTGCCCCTGACAGCTGGGCCTGCTGGAGAGGGGCACTGCCAGGGCAGCCCCATGGTGTCCTGTGCACGCAGGCAAAGGTGCATTTCCCCAAATGTAGGAAAAATGCTCGTCCTCCCCACACTGTTTGGTAGCTACTGTGACCGATGCGAAAGGGACAGGCTGGGGACAACTCCTATGGGCTGGCAGGCCCTTGGTTTCTCTTTGCAAGGCTGACTTAAGAAGTTAGTGGAAGCTGGCCCCTTCTTCTTCCCCTTCCTCCCTCCTCTCCATCCCAAATGGGAGGATGGTGGGGCCCTGTGAACACAGCTTTCAGCCTTCAGACTTGGTGTAAGAGCAGGGCTAATCCATCTCAGGTACTCAGAGCCACAAGCTGAAAGGAGGCTTAAGAGGTTATTCTGTCTCCCATTGGCTTGAAGCAGGCAGCTGTCACAGCCATTCCATGCCGGCATCATGCGGCATGGCCCCTCTCCTGTCCCCCTCCCCTCCTTGGTTAATGACGTGCCCTGTGGGGTTGTCTGGGTCTTTCTGATCCTTGCTAAGTGGGAAGCCAGAGGGAGCAGGTGCACCAGCACAGACTTGTGGCTACACCTCCTGCAGCACACACCTGATGTTGGGAGCAGACCCGAGGGCTGAGCTCTCAGTACACGCACCTTGTATGAGATGTGTGTTCCCAGGTGCCTCCAAGGGAAGGCACAATGAGGGTGGAGGTATGCGGGCCAGAATCTCAGCAGTGCATACACACACACATGCACAGTCACACCACCCTTATGCATGAAGTGCAGAGGGGTAACCCATGCACTCATCAGTGTGTGCACATGTACACACTCATGTGCACACACACACACACCCTGATTCAGGTCCCTGACTGAGCAGCAGTGTCTCCTTCCTGACAGAGGACAGCAGAAGCCAATGCAGAAGCTCCAGCAGCCAGCACCCGGGCAAGCAGAAAAAACGCACCAGGGATCGCAGGAGTGGGCAATGGCTGCCCGGACCCAGCCGGCGTGGCTATGGCGCCCCCTTTGGATGGCCCGTCAGGATGCAGCACTCGGCACACGTGGGGCTTTTTATCAGCAAGGCCAGCATGCTCTCAGCTTCCGCCAAGGTTTCTGAGCCAGCAGCTCGCTGTCTTCAAGAGCATCAGGGGAGGGCCAGGAAGCCCCAGGAAGCTGTTCCTTGATTCCCTTGATGCCCTGCAGCTGCCAACCTCACTGCTTTGTGAGACAGCCTTCTGGGCTCTGCGACACGGTTCTGTCCTGCAGTGTGGGAATGTTGGGTGGGAGTGGGAGTCGGCTCACTTCTGTTTGGAGCTGTGTGGCCTTGGGTACAGTCACACCCCTCTCTGAGCCTCAAGTCCCCCTCTATCAGTAGGAAAACCTCTGGCTTCAGGCTAGATTTCCTCCAGTTCTGGGGACAAGGGAAACATTGTGCCAGTATCCTGGCCTTGTCTATCCTGAGCCTTGAGGATCTTCGAGGTGCCAGGCTGGGCGTGTGTGGGCAGGTACCTGGAGCGTGCTCCAGCCGGAGGAGGGCTGTGAGCCTGACGGTGAGTCCTGGTCTCACTTTCCTGTCTCTATGCTGCAGAGGACCTTTATTCCCCCACCTTCATTTGCTCTTCATTTGCCTCCTTCCTCCTCTTCCCGTTCCTCTCCTTCCCCCAAACCCAGGGTGCACTGAGGGGTGTGAGCTCTTTCAAGGCTGGCAGCTGACCTGGACTTGGGAAGCTTAGTTCCAGCACTGGCCAGCAGAGGGAGCTGCAACCTGAGGCTTGGCTGCGGCAGGGCCAGCCTTAGAGGCGTGGAGCAGAGAAACTAGGCAGGGAGTCCGGGCCCAGGGCAGAGGCCAGGAGATGCTCTCTCTAGGGGACGCTAGGAACAATTCCACAGTGAGCTGGAGCAAGGCTTTTCATGGTGGGGAGTGATGCATCCGTGGCTGGCAGGCACCCTGCCAGCCACCCTGGCCTCCTCGACACCACTCCCACAGGGGCACGTGCGCCACCCTGACCTAGGCTCGGGCCATTCGTGGTCCCTCCCTCACTGCCCTTGGCTTCATTGCCCCTGTCTTCCACTTCTCAGGCCCTCTGGGCCAGGGAGGTCAGAAAGAAATGGACAGAGAGTACAGCCCCGGCTTGGTCAGTGTCCACTCAGGGCCAGTGCCTTCAATACCTGAGATAGAGAGCAGGTTTACAGAAACCGTAGCCGATTCAGGGGCCGGGATGCGGAGCAGCCCTTCCTCAGACCCCACTCACGGGCCGCTGCTCCGGGTCCAGTGCGTGGGACTGACGGCCCGCCCTGGGGAAGTACGAGAGGGCCCATGTCGGTGCCGCCCAGGTTCCCTGGGCCCACTCCTGAGTGGGGGTGAGGGGACACGCGGGTCTGGCCAGGAAACCACCAGGGCTTTTTGGAGATACAATGTGCCACGTGGAAATGATGGGGACCATTCCCCGAGCACCGGCTATCTGCCCGGCGGTGCACATGTATATTGCTGATCCTCACGAGTCACCAAACTGAGCATCATTAGCCCCATATCACAAATGAGGCACTAAGGCTCAGAGGTGCAAGAGAAAGCCCTGGGTTGTCCGGCTTCCCTCCAGGGAGTAGGGCCCCTCGAGCTAGGCTGCAGCTGGGTCCCCTGGCACCCAGATGGACGAGGGCCAGCAGCAGAGGTCTGGAAGGAAGCCTACACCGAGGCTCCCTAGGCCAGCTGCTGCCACTCCTGCTCCTTTTCTCAAGGAACTGTGTCGGGGGAGGGAGTTTGGAGAAGCAAAGGACCCAGGAGACCTGGGCGCCAGTGCAGGACGAGACCCTGGGAAGTCACCTTTGTGGGTCTCAACTTTCTGATCGGTAAAATGGGAGGACACTCCACTTGCCTGGCCTGCGTCTCAGGCTGTGGGGTCCGGTGAGAGAAAGTATCTGAACCTCTCGAAGTCTACAGAGTGTCCACTTACAGTCCGCACCCCTGCCAGGTGCTGCTGGTGTTGCATGCAGCATCTGCTTCTCATCTGGCTTTACGTGGGTGGGGAAATGATCCACATGTTGTGGGTGATGTCGAGTGGGGCATATGGAAGTAACTGCTCAAGGTTGCTCGGAAGCAGAGGCAGGACTGGACCCAGGCCCACTGACGTGCACCCACTGCTCTGCCCTCTTCCCTATTGCACCTACAGTACTGGCGGTGGGAAGCGGGGACAGGACTGAGCTCCCTCTGGAACCTGCTGGGCTAAAGCAGGAGTGTCAGGCGAGGTGGGCAGGTAGGACCCTTGCTCGCTCTATCTGCCCCTGCTCCTGGGGGTGCCCCTCCCAACTCCTCTCCTCTTGACCCTTGACTAGAGTGACCCAAGACAGTAACACTCACTTCCAAGGTGGTGACTGGAAAAGGGGTGCAGTGGGGAACCAGAGCAAAGGGCATAGCTCACGCTCAGAGCAGAGAGCAGATCGCACCTATGCACAGGTGTGCACACACACAGAGAGGAATGCTTGAGTGGCGTGCATACACACATACACAGATACACAAGCACACCTAAACACATACATGTGCATGCAGCCCCACCAGGATGCATGCACCCTGCCGATGGCCCCCCACACACCTGGCAGGCTGCACACACACGCATGTGCACACACAGAGAGACATGCGCATACCTGAGCCCACACTCATACTCCTCTCAGGTCTCTGTTCCTTACAAGTTCAAGTTGGCCCCCAGGCCAGGCACTTTCCTGTATGTTTCTGGGGAAGAGAGTGACCGTGTGATGCATCTTTGGCTGCAAAGGGAAGGGGAGTGGAGGGCAGGGCAGAGCGTGGGCATGCAGAAAGTCAGTGGTTTGAGATCACAGCGCATGGGAGAGGGGTTCAGAACTCATGTGGACAGCCCCCTCTCCAAATCCCCTGCTCAACTCACCTGCAGGCAGGCCACCCCGATGCCTACCGCCCCCATGAGCAGGAGGTGGTTGGCCAGGAACTGTTCCAGTTTGGTGATGCAGCCTCCCTGTAAGATAATGACAGGTCACACACACCTTGACCCAGAAGTGGGCGAGGATGGGGAGGGAAGGGCTGGCTGTGGTGCTGCATCCAACTGGCTGAGGAAAGGCCAGATACTTAAAGGGTCTGTGTCAGCCTTTCAATTGCCCACGGGCTTCTTGAGTGACCCAGGGACAGGCCGTGGTGTTGCACTAGCAGGTGCTTGTCCCCAGGGCTCTGTGCAGAGTGCAGAGGCCCAGCACTGTTGATTTCTAGCCAATAAATAAGTGGGCCCTGCTCCCCCTGACATCCATCTGCCCTGAGCATGCCTCCTGGGGCCCCTGATGGCAAGCTGGAGCAAGGGTGCTCACCTCCACCTTGTAGATGTTGGAGGGGTGGACCCTCTGGCCACAGCGCGCCACCACAGTCTTGCAGCAGCTGTCGGGGACCCGGCGGCCCTCGCCCTCCCGAGACAGGATGTAGGCGCTGTGCTGCCAGTCGGCAGAGCTGTTGCTGCCGCAGCACTTGAACTGGAGAGGGAGGTGGAGGTTGGAGGTGAGGCACAGGCAGGATGGCTCCAGCAGCTTGCTTACAGGGGGCAGGACTGTTATTCAGAAGGTAACCAACCCTTTCTGTTCCCCTGGGGAGTCTTTCCTTCCTCTGTTTGGAGCCCGGGGCTGGTCTCTTTTCAGGCAGAATTTGCCTGCAGGCCACCTGTTTGCTGCCTTAAACATCCACCCAGGACCTTGAAGGTGACTATGCTGGTGCCCTAGGAGCAGGGAGGGAGATGCAAGGGTGGTTTCCTGGACATCCAGGGAGGCAGAACCCCAGGGACAGGCTCCCATTCAGGCCTGGAAACCTCAGAGCACAAGGTGGGCAGGGCTTTAACTGGGCTGACCCTGTGTATACTGGTGGCCTTGGCCACTTTTCAGAGGATGAACGGCCTCTACAGGTGGAGCTGATTGGGAGCTGCGCTGGTCTCGGACATACTGGGTGGGTGTCTCCCCCGCTGAACTAAGGGGCCCCTGGAGTCCGGAGCCCACCACCCTCTACTGCTCCTCCTCGCCTTTGTTCCAGCAGGAAGACCAAGGCCTCAGGCCAGGTCCGAAGGTGCAGGCCAGAGCAGAGCCCACAGGATGGGGGTGGGGTGGCAGGGAGAAGGGGCATCAGACCGGACAGGTGGTGCTGCCTCACACTTTCAGACCCAGAGCCGCCAGGCTTCTGGGGTCTGCTGTCTACCAGAACTTTCTGTGACGGCAGAAATGCCCTCAGCTGTGCTCTCCAACTGGGCGCCAACTCCCCAGGGGCGGCTGAGGGGCACTTGAAATGAGGTTAGTGTGACAGAGGAGCTGAACTCTTAAGCAGCCACGTGTGGCTGGTGGCTGCCGTTAGGGACCACAAGGGTCCGAGGTCTCTGCCCTTCCCCACCCTCTGGCAGGACCGTGGGCCCCACCGGAGGGGTCTGCTCAGTCTCTTCTCGGGAAGGACAGACCACCTTGCTGCCCCCCAGGGCTCTGCTGGGTGGGGCCCGTTCTGGTTCAGGCTGTCCTGAACCAGAGGCCTAGAGAGCAGCCTGACAGGGGCAGGAGCCAGGAGATGGGGTCCCCTGGGCCGGCTTAAGGGGAGGCGGCAGGGTGGTATTTGGAGGAAAGAGCTGGGGGAGCCATGGTCCGGGGATGGGGCTCCGGGGGAGGAAGAGGAAGGAAAGTCCAGGGTTGAGGAAAGCACTTTCACGGCCGTGGGGCTTCTACACATGGAAACACACTTCACGCTCACACCCTGTGACACAGGAAGAGGGTAGGCAACTTGCCCAGGGCCACATGGCCACACACACAGCAGGGACAGAGTCAGGACTGGACCCACGTCTGTGTGGCCTTCGAGCCCCCAGGAGGGCTTACATCCTGCTGCAGACGGTCCACAGAGGCGGTGATCTCCATGGCGCCGGGCTGCCCGTAGTTCTCCGACAGAGTCCGGGTCAGGTGCTGCTTCAGCTCGTCACCCAGCTGGAGGGCAGAGAGGGATGGTGGCGTCACGCAGGCCCCCCCACCCTCCCGGGATGCCGGTCCCCAGGCCTGTTCCCGAACCACACCGGCTGTGATGGGACCCTCAACCACAGAAGACAGGGTTATAGAGATGATGTTGCAAAAGCTGGGGCCCTAACAGAAGGGCAGGGGTGCTGTGGGCAGAGCTGAGAGGATGGCGAGGGGAGGAGACAGCTCCTAGGCACAGGGGTGCTCTAAGTGTCTGCTGATTTTCATTTTGATTATGAGGTGACATTGAAAACATCTACCACCATCATCCCACGGGCATGCATCGGTCCTATGGTGGTGGCTGAAATAACCAGCATGGCCATCTGTCTCTACCAGCTGAATCCCAGCCTGGCCATGACCTTGAACCCCTGACTCTGAGGACATCCAGTGAGAGAGGACCTGACTGGCCCCTTCGTCCTCGCCTGGGGCTGTCCTCGCAGTCTGGCTTATAGCCCTGGCCCAGGCCTTTCCCCTCACAGGTCTGACAGCTGACTTGAGCTCCACGTCTCCTGAGAAGGGGCGATGCCCCCCCCCCCCGGGGGCTCCCCAGCCTTGGCTCCCACGATGAAGATGTCCACAGCAACAGGTGGAGCAGAGGATGACTGAAGTGGGACAGGAAACAGGACCCAGATGTGCCGAGGAATGCGGGGGCCTGGGAGACAGGACCGCCCTGTGAGCGACTGCCTCAGCTTCCCTATCTCCCTGCACCGTTGCCTCCTGGCACGCTGGTGGGGGAAGCAGAAGGAGGAACCTCCACTCACCCTCTGGTAGTACACGTGGGCCAGGGCGCCTGCCACCAGCTCCACCAGGAAGATCACCAGCAACAGACAGAAGTACTAGGAGCAAGGAGAAAAGATGGTCATCACTGGGATTGGGGCTGGGGAGGCAGATGGCACTTCAGCACCTCAGTGAAAAATGTTTTCCTAAAGCAGTGAGGCACCTGTCGGCCCATCTTAGTCTCCTCCCAGCAGCTCTAGGCATAGCCACCTCTGCTGGCTCCAGGCATGGAGTTCCCCACTCACTCCTTCCCTCGCTGGTTTGCTGGTTTGGTAATCCATCCACCCATCCGATACTTATTGAATGCCTACACTATGCCAGGTATCCTAAGTAAGACAATTATTATTCTCAAAGTAATTGGTGGTAGGGAGACAGATAAGTAATTGACTATAATGATGTGTTTTAAGTGCTAGGACAAGCCCTAGAAACTATGGGAGGCTCCTGATGGGGGAGGGCAGTCAGAGAAGGCTTCCTGGAGGAGGTGACACCTGAGTGGCAACTCTAAGGACGAGTGGGCCTTTACCAGGTGAAGAAGGGGGAAGTGCATGCCCGGCAGAGGGGAGAGCATGTGTGAGACCTGGAAAATGCAGTCAGCATGGGTTTGAGTTCAGGGATCTGGCTGGAGCATGGGGACCAGCTGGGCAGCAGTGACCAAGGCTCTGGAAAGGCACAGGCAGAGAGCCTAGGAAGGGTGTTGCAGGGGGTTCTAAATCTCCCTCACTGCTGCCTGGCCTCCCCCAGGCTTGGGCTGCTCGGCATGCTTCATGGCCCTGCCGACACTGCTGGCTGGTTTCCTGGCTGTGCTCTGGCCTCTGCGGGCCTGCATCCTGCCCCCACTCCCACCTGGTTTTAGTCTTGAGGGGAAGTGCGGACACTGCTGGGTCCTGGTGTGTTGAAGGAGCCAACAGGCCAGAAGCACATATCAGGCCCACGTGACTGGGAGGGCACGGGGTGCAGGAGAGAGCACGCTGCAAGTGGTGGGGAGGGGAGGGAGAGGGCAGTACTGTTGCTGAAATTGGCCTCTGGGCAAGCACTGGTGGGTGATGCCTCCACCTCCACCACCCTGCCTCGACACCGCCCAGCTGCCTGGCCACATGGGGGCGGCACTCCATGGTCACTTGGTCACTGGACTGCTGGGAAGGCTCAGCCTATGGGTGAGCTCGGAAATGCCAGGGTTCATTAAGTATGGTGAGAACGTGGGCCCGAGGGAGTGCGAGGGGAGGGCTTCAGGAGGGCAGGGGTGGCCTGGCCCATTCAGAGGCAATGCCAGCCCATGGGCGCGGAGGCCTTGTCCCACTGGCTCCCAGAGCCCAGAAGGGGCCTTGGCAAGGGCAGACCTTAAGCGACACAGGGCAGAAGACATTTCACGTAGAAAGAACTCTGACCCGAGAGCAAGGCTTCCTTTCACGTTACGTGAATCGCCCCCTCCTGCAGCCCTTGTACTGAGCCCATCCACGCCCAGCATGGGGGCTGGCCACCCTTGAGGAAGCAGGGAAACCTTCCAGTCTCTCAGTGGAGCTGGGCCTGTCTCCAGCACTTGTGGGACCGGAGGCAAGAGTGCAAGGGGAGGCTCCTGGCCCTCTCCCTTCCTGCCCCAGGCTCTGTGCTGCACCAGGAAAGGCCTCTGCCTGCACATCTAAGCTCTGTCCATGGCCCCACCCCCTGACACAGGCCCAGGCCCCGCCCCCACAGTCCCCTGAGTGGTGAGGGTGTGGAGGACACTGAAGTGGCGGGATGGGGGGCACACCAGCCTTGGGCACCCTGTGCAGGCTGGAGGCTTGGCTGTCTGCTCAGGGCACTCTAAGCTCCTGGGAACCCAGACAAGGCCAGAAGTGGGGAAGGCAGAGGCAGGATCCAAGGGGGCACACTTCCTGGGCCCCATGGACTTTCTCTGCCATGAGGGGGGCTGGGTGCAGGGGCTGTGTGTGCCTGGGCCCTCGGAAGGTACTGAACGTTACCCCTGCAGGCAGGAGGCTGACAAGAGGTCTGCAGATGGGTCCTCTCTGCTTGGGGAGCCTCTGTGTCCCATGCAGGGATGGGAAACCTGAAGGATGGTGGTGGAATGTCAGCTGACTCGGCTTTGAGTCCAGGCTCTGCCACTTGCTGGCTTTGGATGGTGACCTCTGGCTCCTTGGTGTAAATTAGAAAAATGTGCTCCAATGAGAAAACTGTGGCTCCATGAGCTAGGCAACCTGAATTTTAGCCTTCCCTATTCCTTGTACAAGATACAACCTCTGGGGCCATGCACGGGGGTGCTGCCTGTGGACTGAGCCGGTGGATGACCGGATGCTGCCCTGCTGACCCTAGGAGAACCCAGTGGGAGGGGTGTTACGCTCCACAGCAGTCTGACCTGCATCCTACTCCCAGGGCCCACTGGTGACAGCATGGGGTGAGCCCAGCCTCGCCAGGCCAGGTTGCTGCTCTCCCGGGAGCTGCCCCACCCACTGGACAGAGCAAGGCTGCGCCAACACCCACTCCAGGGACAGGGGTGTGCCTGACCTGCCGCTCCTCTCAGACGTGAAGCCCCTTCCTTCCCGCTCCAAATTGACCCCCCCGCCACCCGGGCACAGGAACCACGGTGCAGTGGCTGCCAGTGGCTCCTGCATGCCCTCTGCTGTGTGGGAGGAAGTGACGATGGGGCACTTGTCACTGAACAGAAGGATGCAGGCCACTTCCAGTTCAGAGGGCAGCATCTCACACCTTCCTTCCTTAGGGGAGGGAGAGGCTTCTCTCTCTCTCTTTCTCTCTCACTGCTCTTGGGTGTGAGGGGTGCTCGGAGGTGGCCCTGAGGGTGTGGCAGTGATGTGCGGCTCTCTGGGATGCTGTAGACACAATTGCTATTGAAGCTTGGCTGGGTAGGCAGCTGATAGGAAGGCAGAGCCACTGAACCATATCTGGGATTTGATGACAGGCTAAATTGGTGTATGCCAGCCCTGCAGAAAGGTTCCTGGGCATCAAGCATGCTCTGCCCCCTGACAGAGTAGGTGGGAGCAGGAAGAGCACCTCACCTGCCTGGAGCTCCAGCTGCAAAGATACCCTGGGTTGGGGGTGGGGGGTAAGTCAGGCCCAGGTTGAGGTTTTGGAGGGACCAAGGAAGGGGCCCAAGGAGTGGACCTCCTGGGTGCTCAGGGACATGGGTGCTGGCTCCAGGCAGCAGCTTTAGCAGCAGATGGCTGCAGGTGTGTGACTCACCTGGGGGGGCGGGGGTGGCCTGAATCACCGCTCCTGTGTGAGGGTCCCTGAGAGGCAGGCTGAGCTTGCTGGATCCTGCACGGAGGATCCTGGCATCCCCACCTCTGGAGCGAGACTCGCGCCACGGGCCAGGCCAGTGGGGTTCTGCCACGTGAGGCCATGAGCTCTAACCAACACCTCACCTCTGCTGCTCTGCCTGCCCCTGGCCAAGCCTTCCCAGACTCCCCCGGATCCCCCAAATCGTCTCAGGGTTCCCAGGGTGCAGGCTGGCTATGAGCTCTGCCAAGTGTCCCTTCTGTCCCTGCACACTGTGCCCTCCCTTGAGGCCAGGTTGGCGGCCTCCACGCCTTTGTCCTCACGGTTCCCCTTTCTGGACTTCCGGTGCCTTCCTGTGCCTCAATACCCGGCTGGGCTGCGGCCTGCACTCACTGTCTCTGGCAGCAGTGGTTGCCACCAGCCACCACCAGCTCCAATGCCTCCACGTTGTCACACAAGGACTCTCTGCTTTCCTCCTCCTCTCCTTAACTAGACTTGGATCCACCTCGGTGTCCTTTGCCTGCCTGCCCTGCTGTTCCTCAAACGACAGCTCCCTGGAGGCCTTGGCTGGGTGAGGGACAGAACATTAGCCACTGCTCTGCAGAGGCTGCTTCTGCTTTAAGTGGTACCATCGGTCTCCCCGGAGTGGCCGTGAGCTTCTGGGGGACAGGGGCCACTGGTGTGGCTCGGGGTCTGGCTGCGTGCTCGGCGAATGCGCTCACTTTCATAGGACGCGAGCACGCCTCCTGGAGCGCGCCCGTGACCCCGCGGGGACTGCCAGAGCTTGGGGCAGGAGCCTGATCTTTCCCTGATCTGTGGGAAGCACAGAGTCGATACCTTAACTTCCACTACAGTGATCCCTCACCTATTGCAGGAGTTACGTTCCAGAGACCCCCTCGATGGGTAAAAATCTACGAAGTAGCGGCGTTATATTTACTTTATTATTTTTATGTATTTTAAGGCTTTATAAACCCTTCCCACACCTCTATAAACCTTTCCCACACTCTTATTAACCTTTCCCACACTCTTATAAACACTTCCTATGCTTTTAAACACTTCCTACACTCTTAAACCTACGTAATTTTAACAACATATAAAATTCTATGTGGGTACTCACCAGTGAGGTATACAGTCGTCCCTCGCTATATTGAGGTTCACTTATTGTGGCTTCATTGTATCACAGGATTTTTAAAACCCAGATACAGGGTTTGAGTAGTCCTCAACCAGGCAGGGTTTTGCCCCCAGGGGATGTTCAGCAATGTGTGGAGACTGCTTTTTGCTGTTGTCACAACTGGGAAGAGTGCTACTGGCATCTAGTGGGTGGAGACCAGGGGTGCTGCTGACCCTACAGGGTGCAGGTCCGCGCCGCTGCAGGGAATGGCCAGGGTCTAAGGCTGACGCTGGGCCTCCGTGTGCATATGTGTCCCTATGCACTATGGGAGACGCAGAACAGATCTAAGGAAGCCTGTCCGGTTCCTGAGCAGCCTGAACACAGCACAGATGAACTGGAGGGCTTTACACTGTTCCTGCCCAGGAGGGCGCCTCCACAGCCTCCAGACTGCAGAACGGCCAGTGAGGAGGGAGAACGCCACCAGTCCAGACACATCCCAGGAGCCCCGGGAGCTTCCCCGGGGACTGTGTGCTATCTGGTCCCTCCCACTGCTCCCAGAGAGCTGGGCAGTGAGGGGTGAGCTGCCAGAAAGGCTGTATAACAGCCTGACTAGGAAGCATAAAGAAGGTTCTGGAATTACCTTTTGTCTTTAAGTTTGGTGTTGATTTTGAATTATTAAACAAAAGTCAGTAAAAATCCTCAGATACCCTGTGTCATATT